ATAAATTGCTTATTTGTAGTCCAAAATAAGCTTTAATTAAAAAAATGTTCAATTGTCAAATTGAAAACCTGAATTCATCTCCCTTTGGGGATATCTAATGCTTCTTACAAATATAAAATCTGACAAAAATTTAGTTGGCTTCAGGAAAAGTAAAGAGACATTTTTTGAATAATATATGGTGAATCAGGAAATAGCTGGTGGTTCTTAGCGGTACTTACCTGAGGTTCTTAGTTCTTACCTGAGAATCGGGAAATGGGATTGAATTGTGAGCAGGAATATGTTTTGATAGTCGGCTTGTTCCGATCGATTCATGGCGAATTAAACATGTTTCACCGATAACTTAAGCAATTTTGATTTCTCCTATGAAGATAAGCATGTATTCTTTTCAGATGGTTCTGAAATTTTTTTCTGGAATATTTTTCCGACATCCTTCACATGTTTTATCGAGCTTATTCGGAAAAAAAGATACTTATGATTGCTCTCCGAAGTTTCTTCCAACTTATCTGAGAAAATTCTTCCATCTCATATCGAATGTAGCAGAATATTCATCAAATTTTCCTCTAAAGTATCTTTCAGACGTCCTACTGGTTGAAGTGGAAATGGTATCCTATTTCAAACGAAAATTCCTTCTGACCTTTTCCGGATGACTTTTCTGACTACTTTTCTGATTCCCCTAGAAGTAACATAACATATACTAGTAGTAGTGATAAGGGAACAGATACTAAAAGTAAAGTTAAGGGATTCATTGTAGGTTTTAAAGAGCTCCACCGAATAATTTCATTCAAATTCCTTGAAGCATCTTCTAACTTCCCTCGGAAATTTTTGTCAGCTTTAGCACAGAAGTTGCTACTGATTTGCCATGGAAGATTCTTCTGGCTTCTCCGGAAAAGTTCATCCCCTTTTTTCCGAGTATTTCCGAAATTTTACGAGTTGTTTATTTTAGAGCTTGTGAAAAAAGTGAATTTCGTTGTAATCGCTTCCTGATATTTGATGTGGCCTTAAAGTTATTATTCATTTTATTTTATTGTTATCTAGCTTAATGTTTAAGGTGAAATGTTTCATTACGAGAAAAAGCCCTTTTGAATTGGTTAAAGCTGTACTCAGAAGGGTATAATATTCTCTTATATTTTCATTTTACATCGCAGATTTCAGTTTTGGGAAAATATAAAAAAATCAAATCTCACCAACGCCTAAGATCACGTTTGATTTTCGTATACAAAAATCAACAAGCAAACAACCCAAGTAACCAGCAAGCCCACTAATTCGCCTTTTCGCAATATAAGGCTGATACACGGCTAACATAGGGCATGCTAAGCTTTATATTAGTCGCATATTAGCCTTATATTGCAAAAAGGCGAATTAGCGGGCTTGTTGGTTACTTGGGAACTGCGGTTGATTTTGCAAGATGTGATATCGCAGCTCAGAATATCAAGCTAACAAAACTCACCAGATGCAAATCTCAACAAACTGTGGTGATATTGAGTTTCATGATTTTTGCTTTACACCCGAACGCAACCGCAACTTCCATAACGGCTTCGTGTCTGCCATCGGTGAAGAGTAATAAGAGATATACTATACTATACTTTCTCTTTCTAAGAAAATAATGTGCAGCGGCATCATTTTTGTGTCGAGTCAACTCTCAGCTTGATTTTTGAACGTTATGAATAGTCTCGCTATATCAAAGGAGCTTCTAAAATCAATATCACGCGTGATATTAAGAGCGTATGAGAGCGGGAAAATGTCAATTGATTGATGATTTTGTCAACACTGCCAGATTAACAAACAAACTACATTTCCAATGGAAAAAAATTAAAACTTAAAAATATTTCAATGGTGGTGAAAACCACTCGAAAAGACATGCTGCGGGTGGTGAACCTGACGCAAGCTTAATTGGAAATTAGCTCCGGTAGTTGAAAAGCAACAAATGAAAACAGATAGCACAATTCTTATTTTTAATACACACTACGAAAAAGACATGTAAATTTCAGTGCCCTGAGACCGACACATGCAAGCGGCCCTTTTGACATAAGAATCAGTTGAAAAGGACGAGAAAATCACTTCAGTCAAACGCACTTTTCGTCGAGTTGCATATGTTTCAGTTTCAGGATACTTAATTTTACATGCTATGTTTGTTTACGTTCCATGATTTACGTCAAAGCTGAATTACGTCTCGTGTAAAAATAATAATTTCTAAGTGTGTAGGTATTGAACAGGGACTCAACTGTTCGTCATTCATGTATGCAATCTGTTCAATAATCTACGTTGAAATGATGTTGCTAACGAAATTTTGGGCTCTCCAAATAGGTTCTAACGATAATTTATGTGCACGTTACAAATTGGCCACTTCCCCGGGCTCATCCGGATCATAGTCGATCGCAAATGTGGGTAATATGACTACAAATGATTTTGTTTTTAATTCTCATGTGTTCTGGTCAAAATCAGAAACTGGCCACTTCCCCGAGGGGAACCGTAGGGCTATTCACAGGAAGAATTTGCCACCAAAAATTTTATGAGGGGTGAAAAAATTGATCTAATTTTCCTTGGATATCTACAATTCTCTCTTATCTGTACTTCCTCTAAATTTATGTAATAATCAGTAAACTTGCACAAAATGTCCCAAATAGTAATTTTTTTAATATAAAATATTTGTCTATTTTACCTGCTGCTAAAAAAAATAAGGATTATTCAATGTATGTTGTAATGATAATCTCTTAACACTTAAAATTACCTTGGATAACTTTTATTAATTTAAAAGTTTTACGATAATTAATGAACATTTTATGTGACTTTAGGATACATTTAAAGTTTTAAAACTGTTTAGTGTAAACCTACAAACACTTCAAAAGACCTGAGATGACATGTAAAGAGATGATTATCATTCAGGCATGCACAGATTACTTTAATCTAGTGACCAAATACGTTTTACGGTATTTTGCACGTTTAATTTGCAAACAGCGTCCAGTTCATTATCTGTCTCACTTAAATCCCCTCAATGGCACCTACGTCTCCCTATTGGTTGGCTGGCCACCCCTTATGAAGAGCTCTGCGCACGCCTATGATTTTTAATACGAAATATCAGGTGTCTAAGAATTGGAGTTATATGGAAGTTCTCAAATAATATTATGAGAATAGGTGGGAAGCTTCAGTTGCGAAGTAGCAGTCAAAGATGATGAAGCAGAAGAAGAAGCAGAATAATATGAATCTTGAATATGGAGGATCAACATATAGAGCGTACAGCTGCGACTTTCCACAGGTTCTTTCTCAATTCCAAGGTCTTTTCATCCAAAATCGCTAGATCGTACGAAATAAATCGCCAATCCTGTAACATGGCAGATACGACCTCTGCAAATGAATGTCCAATAACGAAAAGAACTTATTCAGCAACGTTCCGCTTTAAAAACCGAGCTATCGATTTTCCCTCGAACTAGAATTCTATCCCGCCAAAAACTGTTTCAAGTTTAACAAAGCATTCATCGCTGTACCCGACAAACACAAAAAAGCCCCAACTGAACCAACAATTAAACCGGAACACAATACCGAACAGAGAGAAAATAAAAAGCAGAAATCATAACGCTCCGGTAGCCGCAGGGCCAAAATGAGTGCAATGACAGACAAAGGATAAAAATCGCCACACTCAACCAAATTCGTCCGGGGAAATCCTTTCCCGCTCATAGTTCGCCTCGCCACGGTTCGGCCGGTCAGCAGGATTATCTTCTAAACTTTCAACCGCGCTATTCCGCAAAAAGGACAAGCCAAGCACGCGAAACCGTAGTTGAACTAAATTTTTCCGCGCCAAACCCACCTTCTGCCCCCCTCATATCCCATCTCCCCGAAGAATTCAAAACCAAGCCATGAAAGGATTTGCTTTTTTCTGCCACCACCAACAGCACCACAGCCACCGTTGATCCTAATCTAGTTCTGGAACGTTGACCGCGACCGGGTCCCAGTCCCAACGAACAAAACATATCTCGTCACTCGTCCATCCGCTTAGGCTCAACTGTCACTGTCGTCGTCATCGTCGTCGTCAACCAGAATCAGTTTCACCAGGATCGATATAACCATTGGGACGGGGAAGGGGTTGCTGGATAAGGGGGGGGGGTGGGACAAAGGAAAGACCCAAGCCTCCCAAGTTCAACACACAGAAGGCCTCTGGCCAAGTGACGACTCGATTATAATTCGATTTGACGGAATTTCACCTCTCCGGCCTGGCTCCGGTGAAGGGCCTGTGCCGTGCTCCGTTCCGACGTCGTCATCGTCGTTCTCGACGAACGCTCGAGCTGCAACTGATTTTTCCGCCTGCCACCCCACGGAACGACGACGACGGATGGTTTGAGACTTTGAAGTGGGGAGGGAGGTTGTAAAAGCAATCACTTCTCCTTTGGAATTTGTGTCTTTTTTATTTGTGCTGGGTGGGAGAGGGATGGAAAGCGTGAGAAAGAGTGGGATGACTGGTGCTGGTGGTGAGTTTCGAACAGTTTCCGTTCGAGGTGAGTGTAGAACAGTTAGCAGCGGAAGCCAATGTGGAAGCGTTGTGATGAAGCTGGGCGTGGTTTAGCCTGGTACACATACATATGGAGGTGTAGATGTGGTAGTTGAGTTGTTTGTCAGAGGTCGAGTCGAAAGTGCTCTTTGGAAGGGGGAAGAGGGCTGGGGCAAATTTTTTGTGCTCACTGTGCGAGAGCACAACCTCGACCGAGGCTGTTTGACTGTTCTCCTCCCCCTTGATCCTGTTCCTCGCTCTTTTTCCACTGTGCTGTGCTGTGCTTGCTGATACCTACTCTGTGCGGTTCAGGAGAATGTGCTGCCGTGCTTTTCATCTCTCATTCGTGTAATTCGAAGTAACAGCTCACTGTCTGGCGCTACTATAGCGATGTATGCATGAGATGTGTGTAGTTGCGCTCTCTCTCGCTCGCTCCGGTTCACCTCCGGGCAGGATTGTTGTCTCTTTCCCGTGATCTCCCGGGGCCCCGCTGGGATTTGGCCGTAGTAGCATGCCAATACAGCACAGAGTCCACGGTGTGTACGCTCGTTGCATCGAATGTCAGCAGTAGTGTCAGTTTCCAAGTCGGAGTGAGACGGGGCTAGCGTGTGAGTATGAGGCTGCGCTGCTCAGGCGGGTATGAGTGAGAGTGGGGTAAACAGGTCGAGTCGAGTCGGGTCGGGTCGCGTACCTTTTGCACTGACTGTTCTAGGCAGTCAGGCACAAGAAGGCCTTTTGAATAGTAGCAGTGCGCGGTACTGTCTGTGTGCGCCACGTTTTTTGTGTGGACCGTGATTTTTCTGTGCACTGTGAGAGATTCGTGCGACGGCAGGCAGGAGAGTGAACGTAGAGTGTAACTTTCTACCGGGTGACGCATCTGCAATCTTCCGCTGGCCTGCGGCGACGGCTTATCAGCAGCGACCTATTGCGAAACCTACTCTCACTGTATGCTTTTTTCGTTCGGTTCTATTTTCGTTGACTGGTCCGTTATCGGAACTGTGTAACCGGTCGTGACACGGATAGTGAGACATTCCGATCAATACGCGTGGATAAGCAGTGATCATCGGGCGCCTAATGCAGATCGCGAGTGATTGTGTGAAATATTTCATCCGAAACATTTCGTGATTGCTCGAGAGTGACCAACGGCGACGGCGATAGCCACGTGATTCGGCAGTGATTCTTGAGTGATATCATTGGAGCACAAATTGAAGACTCCACTACAAGGGAGAAGAAACGAGTAGAATAAAAATTGTTTATGATTGAAGTTGGAAAACAACGCCGTTTGTGGAAATAAATATGATTGTTGTGGGTTTGTGATAAGACGAAGTTGGTTCTGATTTTGTTTGTTTTCGACTTGGTTCGCGTCTTTGTTTTCCCTTACTTTTCTGTGCTAAGCGAGAGTGAATTTCGGAACAGTCGGTAAACAACGCGGGCGTCAATTTCTAGCGAAACTCGGCGATTTAAGCAGGAAAAATTTTCCTCGATAGCGTAGGCCCCGATTGTGGGGCCAAAACCGGTAGCAATATTATTACCCACAACTCGCTCAGCATGTACGGAGGAGGTGTCCTGTGTCCGTCGCCCTCGACGGCGACCGGATTCTACAATCCGCGCGGCCAGGGCTCCGAGATTGGTGCCCTCGAGCTAGGCTTCCCCCGGGGGATGGCCTTGGTACCTCCACCGCCGCACGGAGCCTGGCGGGATCCCACCAGCCTAGGATCACACCTGCCCGTGTCCAGTACCAGTGAGGACATTACTACGCTTGGTGGTGGCAACGGGCCACCCTCAATGCAGTCCAACACTTCAATCGATAAGAAAGATTTCATATCATCTGCGGCGTCGGCTGCCGGAACCGGATCGCAGCACAACTCCGGCAGCCTATCAGTTTCCCAGCACTCTTCCGTCGATAAGAAGGAGTTCCTCTCGCTCCAGCAGAGCACCACCCCCGGATCACAGAGCATGAACTCCCAGAACGGAAGCCAACAGGACATCAAAAATCAAAACATTGAATGTGTCGTCTGCGGTGACAAAAGCTCCGGCAAACACTACGGACAGTTCACATGCGAAGGTAAGAGATCCTCATAAAACTTTAACTTTCATATCCCCCCTGCGTACAAACCAAAGCTAATCCTCACCATAAATTCCGCCAAACGTGCAGCCGGCCAGACTTACATATGTTCTACACGTGAACCGACGTCGAAGACGACGACGATGGCTTATCCCCTTGGCTTAAACCGTGGGACTCCGCCGCCCGAGATTGCTATCATGCTCTGCGCCAAATTCCCATACCGCTCGCTCGTCGTCCCGGTTCACTGAAGAAACGTGGACTTAATAAAATTATGATTATTGTGGAACTGCTTTTTCCGCAACCTCCCCCCCTACGGCCTCACCACCAACCAACTGGGGAAGTCCTTCCTTAAAGTAGACCTATGGGACGTCGTCCCCGTTCCATTGTTGTTGGTTGGTAGGAACAGGAACGGAACATTTTTCGGACATTCGGTCCCCCCGATTTGAGACACAATTAATCAAAACAAATAAGCATAAAAAAGTAATTTTTCTTCGGTTGGGTCGGGGGCCCTTCGGTCGGTCGCGCTTGACTTTTGTACCATTCAACTGAACACTGCTGTTATTGTTGTTATGGTGTGGTTGGTGTCCTGGTGCATCTTATCTCCTGGGCTAACTGCTGGCTGGGGGACGACCACGGCGAGATAGGCGATTGTGCAAGAGTGAGCGCAAAAGAAAGCAAAGGGCGCGCGCTCCGTTTCCATCCCGGCAGCATTGCTCGAGCTCCGGATGAGGGGTCCGGTCATGTCCGTAAGTGAATGTGTGTTGTGGGTTATGCATGGACTTGGACTTGGTGATGCAGTTTGGGCTGGTTTTTTTTCGCTGCGGGTTTTTTTTATTGTTGCTTGCCTTTTGGGATGGCATTCTTCCCGATTTGTGCCCTCCGGGTAAGACACGGGATTCTGCCGCCCGGAGACGACGGTGACTTTCGGGGGAAGATAGAGAGAGAGAGGCGGCATGTGCGTAATTGTTATGATTTTATTTGGAAGAGGTACACTCGGATTGGGTTCGCTCTTTATTCCGGGAAGAAGTTGGTGTGTTTCGTTTTCGTTTTTTTCTTTTTGCATAAAGTAGTATATGCGGGATATTTATGGGAAAACATTTTTCATCGATTCGGAGGAAAAGGTTCGGGTTCTCTGATGGAACAGACTGTGGTGCCAGAGAAAATGGGAAAGTGTGAAATGATGAATTGGTATGCAAATCGTGGGTGATAGTGGCAAGACAATTGGAAATTTATTTCGAACAATGTTTGGCATCTCCCAGAGAGGTTATGCACGGAAGAGAAGTGAATGTGTTCATCTATCTTGATATTGTGAAAGCTAAAATAGTAAAAATGATACACCCAACCGGGAAATGTAAGATTCTATTACAGATTTGCATGAAAAGTATGCAGTTTCACGATATGAACATATTCTAAAATGTGCTCACTGGAAAGTTTTTAAACTGATTTTGTAATTTTTATGTTTGATATTTTTCGAACAAAGTTTCTACCTCCAAATGCATTGCGTCCAGCAAATCATCTCGTGAAGGTTTTATTCAAAAATGTTCATTCTGGATAAACTTGCTTGAACGCTGCAGTCCATTGCAAGAACTGCCATTACATTTGTTGAATGAAACATATGCAGAGGATGTAATAAATCCTGACATTTGATTTTAGATTTTTTTTTTTAAATCTACATAAACATGGGGGGCTCCCTCAGCTCAATCGCTAATGGAAATATATTTGCAATGTACTTGCCACATAATATACAAATGCAAAAATGGAAGGGTAAACAGGTATAATATAGCTTCCTTCAGGAAAAGCAGCTATATGTTTACCATTTTCACTTCCACTAACGTTATAATCACGTGTAGCCGTTGCTTTGGGAATTATACATAACCTGTAATCACTTTTTTATCTTCAGTGGCAATTAATATAGAAGTAAATGTTCTTTATCGACAATACTAAAAGTTCTTCAGTTAATTAGTCAGTCAGTAAGTAGTCCAGAGTTCTTCAGTTAGGCGGGGCAATATGCCCCATCTATCAACTACTATGCTCCCACAACAATGGTACTGTATGCTCTATTCTAAACGGATAGTACATACACCACTCACCAAAGGTGCGACATGCACCAGAGCATTATTGTTAGATGCCTCATACAGCACAGAGATGGAATGAATACTTTTTTCACCCTTAATAGTGATTTTTTTTTCTATTTTTATTATTTATTTGTGACAATTGACAGCAGGGAAACTTGCACAGCATAGTTGTCCCATTAAATACTTGGATTGCCCATCAGTGTTGTATTTATATTATGCCTGAATTCACAGATATTCAAAGGAGGCGTAGATATGCAAAGCTCTCAATTAACAACTGTGAAAGTGCTCAAAAAACATCAAATTAAGTGCCGGCGAAAATTCCAAGTGGGAACGTAATCGTAACTTTAAAGTTCATATTTAAGTATACATGGAGATACATTTTAATTCATGTGTATTCATGTGTGTAGGTTTGTTTTCCTCTGTTCGTGACATAAAACCACTGCGACCAGTAATTTGATCTATTGTAGTAGGGGAAATGTCAGCTTCGGCAATACCTTAACCTATTATCGTCAGGGGTAAAAAAAAGTCCTAGAGCACTCATATTTGGCCAATAGATGCTCTGAAACACAATGTATCCACATGCCAAAATTGAGCTCTCAAGGAAGTTGTGTACGCCCTGACGATAATAAAATAAGGTATTGCCGAAGCCGTCATTAACCCTATATCCCATGTACTTAGATTAGTGCATGTCGTATTTATCATCGCAAGGAACCGACTTTAATTGAAAGGTGCCGCTATTTATACCTTCGATTAGCTTTATTGCAATATACCAACTTTTCTAGATAACTTATAAACTGACAACTAATAATAACATTAATCGGGATACTTATGGTCATTTGGAGGGGATTCCACAATATTTTATTCAAAGCAGTTTAATAATGATACGATATATTCACAAATTTACGACTGTCATAGAAATGGTTAAAAAGCTCCCATGCTTAAGGAGACAATACACATACTTTTTTAACAATCAAATTACTGCATTTTTACTCAAATCCAAATCTCTTTGCACCGTCCAAATCCGTTCTCGGAAAACTTCAAATCATCGAAAAGTGTATCTCTATTACCTATGTCTAGGGTTTCTTACGCGGAACATCCCGGGAAATTTACCAAAAATCACATCTCCCGATTCCCGGGAATTCGTTCCAATTTCCCGGTAAACAATTTAAGAAGCATTTTTGGGTATATTATATAAATATAAGAACTTTCCCAGAAAAGTCATAAGAAACATCCTCTTATGTCAGGCTCATCCATACCAACTTAAGGTATCGAGATAATCGATCCTGCTCGGGAAGCCAGAGCATTTTTCTAAGGGATGCCAGATGAAATTTTTGGGGGAGTCCAGGAAAAACCTTCAAGGATCTCAAAAGACGTTTTAATGCGAAGCCAAAATGTCTTATCAAGAAAGTCGGGAGGAATTTCCGAAGATATCAAAAAACTTCAAAGGAAGTTAAAAACTATTAAATAGATACTTCCAATGACAGTTTTAAAAACTTACTGAAAAAAAATATGCTACCGCGGAATTACTTCTAGGGAAATTGCAAGAGATTTCTGGGAAAATTCGGTAATATCCTCTGGGTTAAAAACTCTCGAAGGTCCTTAGTCATAAGGACCAGAGGCAGTCGAAAGAACAATCGTTGGCAGCTCGGGAAAATTGTATGATGACAGTAAACATATTAAAGTGGTTCTATATCAGTGTTCATTTGGCTGTCGACAGAAGCAGGCCACTCTCGATGTGTGTCACACGTTCGTCTGTTTACTCAGCAGCAACCATTGTTTGATTCCCCTCATTGTTCTTCATCAGCAGTTCTTTCGGTCGATGCGTCGTCGACTTTGGAAAGCAACCGTTTAATGATGAGTGCTTGAGTGCTGACCACGGTAGATAAAGTATTTATTGTGTTGTACCTTATGAATATATTTTGATGATGTTTGGTATAGTGAACAAGAATAATCGGCTCTGTTAGTTAAATTCGATTGAGACTTATCAAATAAATTAATTTAAAAAAAACGGCTATACATAAAACTAAGAAATAAACATTCTGATGAATAAATGACATGAATTCAACATACTATCTTTCCGGACTTTTATCAAACATATTTCTCGTCTCCCGGGAAGGGCAATCAGCTGTTTCCTGTGTCCCAGGAAGTCAAAATAGGTCGGAAAATGGAAACACTACTTATGTCTACACAGCAAAAAATTGATAAATTCACATTTGGCACATTAATGCACTTGTTTGAATTTGTTGAAATATACAGCAAACAAACATTAATTTTAAATGAAAGTATTTAATAATACATTTATTTGCATTGAATTATACATGCCTGTGTGTGTTTTTACATGGATGACAAAAGTTGAATTGAAATCGATTCATTTTTCTACGAACAACGATTTAGATTTACACGAACACGTAAATTTCAGCTTTAATTAATTGAATTTCAGATAGTTAAACCTATAATTTAATATTTAACGATTTTTAAGTAACGACACAATAACAAATCATTACAAAAATATCATTGAAATTCCTAAAATATTTTAAAACGTAAAATTCTGTTACGAGTTTTACATAAGTGTACATGTTAAGGCTTCTATGAATTTGGTTGAAAATTTGTTTTAATTTTCTCAAATTTTTAATGGTAACAACAAGCAAAAAACTAAAAACCAATAAGATCCAACCAAAGGAGTGAGCGTTTGATTAGTATTGTCGCATTAATGACCCTTCGCACAATTTAATCTTCTGTTCAATTTTCACACTGCCGTACTCTAATGGAACTATCAATATATCCTGTTCAGAAATTTCTCTAGCTAATAAATTATCGCACTAAAGCATCATGTTGTATAGCATTTCCTCCCAACTCCACCAATAGGTTGTTTTTGTCGCTCAATTTGGTGTATCCTTACATAATTTTAATGTTGAATATCTTTGC